CCACATTACCAGATTCTCTATCATTTTCCCAAAGTTCTCCTACCCCTATTTCTAATACACTCAGATTATCTATCTATCTTTCACAACCCCAAATCAGTGTATTTCCATCTACCCGCTCTAGATTCCAGATATCCCATCCCATTCAGCCTTGCAGAACCAGCTGCGACAGATTGGACTCCGTTCGATGCCTACAAATCCGACTGCGCGTTTAGAGATTCTCTCTCGTTTGCTTACTCGGAGTGAGCTCTGGAGCAGAGAATGTTGAAAGATATGGTTTTGGTAATCTTACGAATGACTGGATCCGATTCGATTCGGTTCGTGGCAGAAGACTACAGTTTCAGACATTGGGCACATGACATGACATGACCCTAGCGGCCTTGGCATCGCATCTCCGCTCTCCACCGCTCTCCTCCGCACCGCCAAGGCCCTGCCCTGCTCTTACCTAATGTATCCCCCAGCCCCACTCCATGCAAATCACTAACCCCAAAACCCACTAGCCGAAATTTTATTTCCAACGACATGTCATGCCACACCACGCCATCTCTTATCTTATCCACAGCCACCCGCTATGTACAGTGGGGTGCAAGAAGTTTGAACCCATGTTTTTGAGGCTAACTGAAGAAAGTATCCGCTTGTACTATGTACGTTAGACTCACTTCACCGCTAACGCAGATAGGTCAAGCGGTTACTTTCCTCAGTTAGCCTTAAAAGCATGGGTTCAAACTTCTTGCACCCCACTGTACCGTACGTGCCGCGCGCGCAACTACTATATCAGCCCTAACTAAAGTGGGAGCTGGGATTTGGGGTTGGCTATTGGTGTCTATTTAAGGATTGGGGGTTACGGGTTGGATTTACGAGATGTAGAGATGTAGATGTGAGGGATCTGACGTATCTAGTAGGGAGTGGGAGCTTGAATAGACTGAGTATACTGTACTGTGGGGTACGATATGATATGAATGATATAAAATGATAGTGTATAACAAAATCTCCCTATGCAATGCACGGTTTCGCACGTATATGTTGAAATTGCGATGCATTGCGCTGCAGTGTATGTGTATTGTATTGTGGGTGTTTGTTCATGATTAGACAGACATCATCCCTTCTTTCTCCCTACCCTTCCTTTCCTTCCCTTCCCTTCCCTTCCTTCCTTTCCCTTCCATTTCCCTCCCTTCCCCCAGTCTCCCCAGACCCAATCCCAGACCCCAGAATCCCAAGAGCAGAGCGCGCATGCATGTACCACAGACCACAGCCATCCCAATCGAATACAACATCCCCATCTTTCATCCACGATTAAACCCCACAAGTAGCATAAGCCGAGATCAGATCCAGTAGTAGCAGCAACGGCAAAACAATATTCAACCAAATCGCAAGCGCAAGCGCAAACAACAGACACAGGAAAAGGAAAATCGTATCAACCCATCAATCGTAAAAAGGAGTGTGTCTTTTCCCGCCCGCACATAGACAGAAAAAGGTAGGCCAAAGATTTAACACCAACCAAGCCGATACGAGCCGCTCCATACCATCCCAAACCAATTACATCAAGGAAAAACGCAATGTAAAGCAGAAACATAAACTCCCGGGAACAATTGTACCAAAGCAGACTGACACTGAGATGTAGATGTATATGAGAAGAGCGCTTTTGGTAAGTTTTACCGAGAGGTAGGGAGATGTATAGGCCGGACCAAGGAGAGAATCCATTGATACATGAAGGAATTGTTTCATTCGTTGCCAATGCCGTATGTCAATGTCGGTCCGCTACCTCTTTCTCTTCTTGCTCTTATCCGGGCTGCCTTGGCCCCCTGCAAGGATGCTGGGGACCATATCAACGTCAACGCCATTTTCGTCCTTCTTGACGGGAACGCCCATATGGCGTCCATAGCGTCCTTTGCGACCATTTCCCTCATCCTCGCTGACACACTGGTCCGCGCTGAGGCCAGCATCTTTGCAGCGCTGGCATGGGCGTTGACGATCGCATCCTTTCTTGCTCTTTCGGCATCGTTGACAACGGGGTTTGGAAGACAGGTCTTCCTCATCCTCGCCAAGCTGATGCTGGAAGTTCAAGTTGGAAGCATTGGATGTTTTTCGAGACTGGGAGGGCAATGAAGTAGGAGATATGGGTTTGGCGCTGCCAGGAGCGCTGACAGACTTCTTGGATTTGACAATCTGGCCAGGTCGCTGTGGCTTTGGCTTGCTGGACTTGTTGACCTTGGCTCCAGATGCACTGGCGCGAGGCTTCCCCATGAGTGATGGCATGCTCTTGGGCTTTGGAATCTTGGTATCTTCCATAACCACATCCTGATTCCCAGGGGTGAATTCGTAGTCAGCCTCGTCTCCGCTTGGCTCTGTGCTATCTTGACTTGGCAAGATGTCATTGAGATGAAGACGGGATTTCTTGATATGACCTGGAGGTAGAATTGGGCTTGTCTCGCGCTTCTGTCGGCGAGCAGGCGGAAGTTCATCCTCACTCTCACTATCCTCGTCACTTGTAGCACCAGTGGAAGAAGCAGCATCAGCTCGTCCGCTGAACGTATCATCCAGAGTAGAGGCAGATGTGCGACCGTGAGAAATGTTTGACATTTCACCCAATCTCATTAGTTGCAGAGCAACATCTTTATCCTCCTCTGACATGCAGCTGCCTACTGTTGGCTCGGGTGTAGGAAGTATCCCGGAGCTGTTGCCAGTTGGCGTCGCTCCGAGAGATTGTCGACCTGGATAATCCCCGGCCCCGCGAGTGCGACGACCTTGAGCAGCAGGCGTAGAGTATATGCCAGGTTGTCCGAATCCATTGCTATAGCTTTGAGGAGAATGCATTGATTGTGGGTTGGAGAAGGGATGCTGTGAAGGATGTGTGAAAGGGAATGAAGCCCTCTGGTGCTCCATTCGACGTGCTGGGGAAACGGAGGAGTTTGAGGTTGCAGCAGGCATTTGAGGCGGCGCAAATAATGGCAGTTCCTGAAAGTATCATATGTTAGGAGACACTTCGGATGAATGAAAGAAGTGAATCGTGTGGAAAACTTACTGAACTCTCAAACTTGGCTCTCTTGCGACGCCCACCTTCCACAATATTGTCTAAACTAATCTCGGTATTGCCCAGGTGCTCACTCTTGGTTCTGCTGGAAACGGAACCAGGAGCCCCATCACCACTGCTGTACCCATTCACGCCATCGCTGTGGTTGTCTGCGAAGCTACCGTGAGCGCTGGACCCCCGGCTTTTGAAACCCGACCGCGACACACTCTTCTTCATCGGAAGTGGATTCGTGCTCGCAGACTCGCTCCGACGACCGCGATTGTTCGGGGATGTACTACGCTTGCGAGAAGTCCTCGACGTAGGTCTAGATAGAGGTTGCCCGTAGCTGAGCGCCTGGGCGGGTGGAGGTGGCATATGGTGGCCATCGCCGGGATAGAAGGCCTGTTGCATAACAGGCGATCCCGAATGATAGGATGATGGACCGTAAGCACCTGGAGGTGGTGAAGGTTCATCAATGACTCTAACATAGACAGTCATGTTGTTTCTAAGGTTCTCGTAACGAGCGATCAGGGTGTTGCCCTGCTCATCCTCGAAGCTGACTCCTTTGGCACCGCCAGGAGGAGCATAAAGACCATAGAAGTTCTTGACTGTAGTTATAATCGAATCGGTTGTATCATGAGGAAATATCTGCACCCGCATAGGAAGGCGCGCGCGATATTGAGGCGATTCGGGGAAGAGGAGTTCGAATGCGACACTCTTAGGCGTTGGACTCCCGAATGGGGACATATTCGTATTGTGTGGAGTTGTAGAGTTGGATTGACCATTCGCATATGTCGCTGGTGGTGTAGCCATTCTCTGAGCTCCAGTGCGCGCATCCATGCCGGTCATTGTGTGTCGGGTTGGGTACGAATGCGAGTGAGGAGCAGCAGGGTCGTGAAGTTGATTTTGTGCGTTTGACGATACGGGGCCGGAAAGAAGACTGGACAATTCCATGCCACTGCTGAAGCAGTACTTCTCGGTTGATTTGATGGCACTTATTCCTAAGTGATGTGTGTTGTCGCTGAGTAGTGAGGTTGCGTGCTGGGCGATCAGACCGTTGTCGCAAGATGGCGGATGGATGGGGAAGACACCGAAGGCGCTGCTGTCTTGCGATCTGGAAGGTTCAGAGGGTTAGTATCAAGCTTTGTGTGTTCGATAATGATATTAGAGAGCGAAATGATAAAGGGGATGGAGTATTGATGGAATTGCGAACTGCTTAACGGTGTGTGGGCGCTTCTTGGCCGACGGAGGACAAGGGGAGAGAAGGCACCGCCAGGAGAGATATACGAGGAAGACGGGTGTTTTTGCTTGATCGCATAACATCAAATAAGGGTGGGAACTTACTGGTGATCAAAGTAGATGCCGTTGCGAGGCCTATCGAGGCATTTGGAGTCGTCGTCCGTTGGAATTGGTGTGCCGAAGTGCTGCGACGCAGAGAGGTTAGAAGATGGGAATTTCTTGGGAGATTCAAGTCGACGACGGTTTGAATAGATGTGCGAAAGGGCGATGGATGGATTGGACACTTACTAAGTCTTGTTTTGGGTCGTTGTGATGCCCTTGGGTGTGGTCTTTGGAAGAGAGGAGCAAGGTTACGAGTCGGCAAGCTGTCTCTGAGGTGGGTTAGAACTAAATTATCTAAGTACTCACATTTCATAAAACTACATAACTGAACAACTACATATTTAGCCAAGTCTTATTTCAATCGTCGATATACATAAAACCGACTACTACCAGTATAACATTCCGCATCAGAAGCTGGTTGTTACTCCTCGTTCTATTGTCCTCAAAGTCCTCGGATTGCCCTCCGCATGCTTGCCTGTCATTGCCCGCTTTAATGGATGCGCAGTGCTGCGATCCTTCTTTCTTGATATCAAGAAGTTTCGCAGTTGCAGCAAAGAGCATACAAAGCCCAGAAATATCTACTATCTACTTGGTGCTACTTTCTCCTTATCCAAATTGTGCATTCCCAAGTCATCCCCCAAGAATTGAGACATTTCTTGCGGAAATGCTCACACTCACTCGAGTATACTTCCCTTCCCGCTCAGCCCGTTCTCGGAGAGGGGGGGTATCTGCTCCTCCTGCTGCTCCTATCGACAAGCACACGTAACTCGTACATGATGTAGCTTTGTCTAGAAACATCCACACACACAAACGGAGGCTTCAAATTATCGATAGCTGCATCTATGTTTATGGGAGGCAGGTCGTCAGGATCTCCGCGCGCATGCGACTGGAAGTCGTCGACTGGTCACTGGTCACTGGTCTCCGATTCTGCTAGACGCAGTGGCCAAATGCTTGACCAAGTCAGAGGCAGCCAGCCAATGATAATATGCACCGTCTGTCTGAGGCAGGGATGATTGGACGATCACAAGTGTAACATGGACATGTACAGCTCCAAAACAATCAATCGCTTGACTGCCTGGGTGTGGCTTTGGACTGCAGCGCGTGTATTCTATGTTATTATATCCTGTGGTCCATGGATGCTTCTTCAAACAACCGCCAGGTCTATCTTGACTTGGGGCCAGGGCAAGGTGTCGGTGTAGCAATTGCATTATTGATTGCGCCCCTAGGATGCTGGCTGGGACTGTATGCGCTGGCGGGCAGTTTCAAGTGCCTTTTATGCTTAGAGTTGGAGGGGTCTAAGGACGGCAAACCCAACCTTCTGACGATAGATTGACCGCCGGGAATGGCCAAATCGAGGCCAGGATGCAGGTGCTTCTGCACAGGAATGACTGGTTAGATCTCCACAGTGCAGCTTTAGTATGCAATGTTGTTTGTCGTGCAGCTGCCAGAAATGCTGTTAATTCGCCGCCGCCCGCACAATTGAGAGGGCAAAAAGCGGATATTGATATCGCAGCGCAAAGGTGGGTGTTTTATTTTACAATTTCTCTAGATATCCCAAATAGAATCGAATCGGACATTTTCAGAAAGATATATACTTTGGCCCGGATAGTCCCAACTCCAGTGGCGGGGCAGGGTTGGTGTTGATGACGACGATCCAATAGCCTTTCGAAGATTTGTCAATTCCGAACAGCACTTGGCCGACAGACCGCAGCGCAGGCCTCGAGTTCCTCTCCTCCGTACGTCGAGACTTCATCCGATGGCATGCGACCCCGTAAACAAAAACACGACAAGTTTACTGACACGGGTCACGCTCACGCCGTTCCTTCACGGGGCCAGGTTGATAGGAAGGCAAGACAATGCGCCAGTGTCTGCGCCATAAGCGCAATTCGCAAACGTCGGTTGTGAGATCCTACTCCAAAAGCCTAGCCTAGCAAATCAGAAGGACATTCGTAGACCTTCCAGGAACGAAGGTACGGTAAAATCCTAACATTAGCAGCCAATCACGGAAAGAAAGGCTGCTCCCAGGAGACACACACGTTGGGAGGTGGTGGGGAGCCATTATTAACCATTGATTAAGCAAGTCTTGCAAGCCTCTAATGCGTGCCACTTTGCTCGGGGGTGCGCTGAAGCTTCTAGACAAGGCAGGCCGTCTTCCGAGCGGCTAACCTTTCCAATCACTTGATCGGTGGGAAAGGGCAGGGAAAAGGGAAAATGAGTTAAATCTTTTGTCGGATAGATCAGAGGCAAGATATATATGATGATTGCTATTGAAATGAAGATGCAATAAAGGTTATGGATAATTGAAGTTGGATCAGCTGACTTAGTGTTGCTAGCGCGATTCCGAGGGGCGAATCTCATGTTTTGACTGATTCTCGAACTGTCCTACACAGCTGCACTAGAAGTTGTCGCATCTTATTTTAAAACACATCAAGTATTAGAGATAAGTTTACATCACCATAATAAAGTTTTTAATGTTGTAGAAATTTACGAAACATGAGTTATAAGTTTCAGATGTTATCGTGAGTTTTTTTCTACGCGTTGAGTGCAACGCGTCGTCTATTAGTAAGCATGACGTAGCAAGCGCACACGTTTCATAGGATAGGTGACACTAACACAGCAGTATAGATTGAGGAGCATTTCATTTCCCATATGCATTACCTTATATTCCTATTAAATGCAATTAATTGATATCTTCCTACCTATAATAAAGCAATCCATTCCCCAATTTTCGAAAACTGCATTGCGATTAATTTTAAAGCGAATGAGTCAAGCCCGGCAGGGGTCGACGAATATGGGCCTCGGCTGCTGCATGCAAAAAGCGGCACGATTTCTCATCAGCTTTTACGCCTGGCGCATTTTCAATCAGTGCCGCTTTTTAGGGGCGTTGTTCAGCGAAACCACTTTTTGCCAACACACCAAATGGGGAGAGTTGTTTGCGCCAAGGGATAGATATACCTGCAGGAATAAAATTTCTTTCATTCAGGACAATATATCTTCAAGTTTACCTATGAAGAATGGCAATATTGATTTTAAGATGCAATGCAGTCTCGAGGCAACACTTCAGCTTGTGAACCTTATCCACTATTATTAAAGGCCGTTTTCAATTGCTAAGATAAATCAAGTAGCCGAGGATATATTATTTTACTTGATGTGGGAGACTGGAGTTGGGAAGGCTTATTTAATTTATTATTATGATTCCGTCGATGCATGCCACCTAGCTCTGTACATTTAATACATAGACACTCTCATACGCTATCAACTTCACCTTGAATGACATATCCTATTCATTTGTTCCTTGGATTTGATTTTTTATTCTTTCTACTTGAATTGCTAAAGGATGATTTAAATGTTAGGCATTTATGTTAACCAGAGCTTAGGGAAATAGGTGATTCGGTGACTTTTATAGAGATTACAGCTGCTGAGCTAGCTTCCAAGCAAATAGATGTTGCGACTGCATTTCTAGTCTCTTATCTACCTCTCTACTCTGCATTGTGTCACTTGAATCCGTGACCTGAAGGAGATTCTAGCCCATAAAAAGGTTTGCTCTACATTCCAAAGGGCAAATGAATGGTAGGATGGGATGGGAAATGATTCAATTAAGGTTTTTGTTATTAGACCCGAAGTTTCATAGAGTTGTACTTATGGTATCAACTCCCTACTGTAGATGGTTTGTCTGTTACTTAAAGTCATCATATACGCCTTGACATCTTTCCCTTTCCGGTGAAACAATTGGGCGACCAACAAGAGACTTTGTTTGTTGTGCAGTGAAGTTCAAAGTTCACCAAGACGCGAATTAAGCGACTGGTCGTTGTGGTTGTCGTTGCTGTGACAGATCTCCCCATTCGAGTTTAGCGGCGGCAGGGGTCTAGTCTGTTTACATTTCATGGTATCAAGTCCGAGCTGACCCAAACATATCGCGATATCCTTTTCACATTTCAACTTGCCATCCTCCTCCTTCCTCCTTCCTCCTCATCGCATCTCCTCATGGATTCGCATTGACTTCCAATTGCAACTCTACTCGAGTACCATTGCATTGCCAGAAGCAACCGCCTATCCTATTATCGCAACACGCCCTCGTACATCTATCCAGTCGACCTCCTTTTATGAATTTTAGGACGCGATAATCTTGCACACCAAACCTCGAGCTTTGCATTGCACTCATCAAACAGTCAGGAAATAATTGCATAGCATAGTTGCAGTTGCTTTTGGCAATTCACAACCGTAAATTCTTTGCATAGCTACTACCAAACCATGGACGCACGAGTATGTTTTGTTATTCACGCCTTCCCTCGCTGTCTATTAGGGCTGCTTACATCTCCCCCATTCCTCGAGATTGCCTCGACAACTTCATTTCCTTCGCAAATTGATTTGCATTACACAACCAGCTGACATTTAATTGATTCAATAGCCACAACGTCCCTTGCGAGCTCTTCGTGTTCAAGGCGACGAGAATATTGCTCCTTCCTCCAAACCGACACTTCACCAGCGCCACAAGTCGACCGGTACACTCTCCAACATGCTGGCTATAGGAGGACTCAAGGCTGCGGCCAAGAGAACCGCCTTTGGAGATGTGAGCAATACAGCGAAGAGCCTGGCTACGATTCATGATGATTCTGTCCTGTCTGGGAAATCAGTTCATTCGGACTTCGTCAAGCCGCTTGTGCAACAAGACAAGCCCGCAGCATTTCTTCGCCCTGCCCAAAGGCCTCTTAATGTCGCGCCAATCAAAGGCCCTTTAAACATCATCTCGTCGACTACGTCCGAACCAGTCTCAGTACCTGCCGCATCCAAAGCATCAGTCGCAGAGCCACGCCAACAAAATACACAATTACCTCCCCTCAAGCGCACACAGTCCAAGAAGCTCACAACGATCTATAAGGATTCTAGTGCAGAGAATGAACAACCATCAAAACCCTCCGTCAACCTAAACACCAGGCCAGAGGTAGCCCCTATTCCTCCTGTCCACCAAGCCCTTGAACCTCGCCAGCACAAAAGTCAACCACAGCTTAAACCAGACCCGCAACCGGTCCTTCGCAAGACTCAGAGCAAGTACTTCGATGCTCAGCCACTACCTCAAGAGCCCGAGAAATTCAGTCCAAGTGAGGCGGTCTACGAGAATGCAAGACAGGATCAATCTACCACATCGGACGATGCATACGAGTCGTATGATAGAATAGTAAATCAGGGACAAGAGGAAGAATCTGTTGACACTGCACAAGAGATACCGGATAAGCAGCATAGACAGGTACCAGCGCCATCTGTTTCCGAGACAGAAGAATATTGGGAGGACGAAGAGGAGGAGATCTACGACGAGCAGGGGTATACCACAGCACACTCCTACCGATCAAAAGGCGACAACACCACTGGAGGCGCAACTACGGTTCTCTTTCCCAAAGTCACCAACAAGGCAAAGAAGGAGATTGCTGCTGCTACGGAAGTCTTCTTGAGCACTCGCACACAAGAGGACATTGAAGAAGACGAATGGGATACTAGCATGGTGACCGAGTACGGGGATGAGATCTTTGCTTACATGCGAGAGCTTGAGGTAGGTCTCCATTTTTTCACTGTACATGCTTTCGGGGACCACAACGCGTCCTGCGGCCTAGTAGGTGGCTATGTCCATATGGCCGCTTGTATGGTCATTGTTTACCTTACCCCTGCCATGTTTACCCTTCTCCACCCTGTTGCTAACCAATCTTGACTCATAGATCAAGATGCTCCCTAATGCACACTACATGGACAACCAGGCCGAGATTCAGTGGTCAATGCGATCTGTCCTTATGGATTGGCTGATTCAAGTTCACCATCGCTTCTCCCTTCTCCCAGAGACCCTCTTCCTTTGCGTCAACTATATCGATCGCTTTCTCTCTTGCAAGATCGTCTCTCTCGGCAAACTTCAATTGGTCGGTGCTACAGCTATCTTCGTTGCCGCTAAGTATGAGGAGATCAACTGCCCATCTGTCAGCGAGATTGTGTACATGGTTGACGGCGGTTACACGGTAGATGAGATCCTCAAGGCAGAACGTTTTATGCTTAGCATGCTTTCGTTCGAACTTGGATGGCCTGGACCCATGAGCTTCCTGAGACGCATAAGCAAGGCGGATGAGTATGACTTGGAGACTAGAACTCTGGCGAAGTACTTCCTTGAAGTGACTGTCATGGATGAGCGATTCGTAGGAAGCCCTCCCAGCTATATTGCTGCAGGTGCCCACTGCCTTTCTCGTTGGATGTTGAAGAAGGGTGACTGGGTAAGTTATTCTGCTTTCAAACTGGTGACCAACGGCTAATTGGTAACGTAGACTCCTGCCCACATCTACTACTCAGGGTACACTTGGGACCAGTTGAGACCCTTGGTATCAATGATGATGGAATGTTGTGAGCATCCTCTGAAGCACCATGCTGCGGTCTTTGAAAAATACTCGGATCGTCGGTACAAAAAAGCGTCAACATTCGTCAAAAATGAGATGGACAAGGGTTTCGTTCTTCCATCAATCCAGATCTCCAACTTTAGACCATCCCTCCCATCCCTTGAGGATGTTGCCGCTCAGATGCCTTTTGAAACGCGAGATTCCTTCAAGCGCATGGTCCAAGTCAAGGGCTAGGCTGGTTCCAATACTTCATACACAACTACATCGGATACTTCAATTCTCTGTATATTATTGGACCAGATATGTCGATAATGGTCTCATTGACGCTCGATATGGTGCTTCCTGTCGACGCTTGGATCCTCAGCATACTACAACAAAAATCACTAGATTCGCATTATTGGCGGCGTTGCATACGGGCAGGTTTTGTTCTTCGCCGCATCCTTTCTTCTTTCAAACGGCCTCTCAGTCTCGGCCCGACCACCGACACACCGACTTCTGCTTTACAGCGTAACGATTCCTTACGATACCACGAGACCACGAACATACTCGTACCTCAGCCGTCTATAATTGAGGCCAGCTTGGCTTGAGGTGCATAATAGAAAATGGGGGCTTTGTAATGCATTGTTTTTGCGTGTATTGACAGATGCTTAATAGCTGTTATTTTCCTTGATGATATGGCGTCAGGGTGTACGGAAGGGTAATCAACAGAAGTAAAATTAGAAGTAGACGTAGGGAATGATACTTCTATCACTTAATGCTGTTGGTGCAAGATGCTGAGGTGAAGTGAGGTGCAGGGTGGCTCAACTGATCGACTTCCCAGCCCCACTAGCACAAGATGTGGATACAATCCACCAACAAGTTCCGTGGAATCCCGCATGTTTGCTTTTTCACTTAATCTCACCCAGGTCTATAAATGATCAACGAAGATGAATCTCATCCAAACTCCGTAACTTCCGTCTTCAGATATACTCCTCGACCTGGTCCTGCACAGTAGGTAAGGTAGTAAGGGTACCGTGCACGTGCGTCTAGCTCGGACATGGATAATCTTTCTCCCGCTGCATCCTACATCCTCGCCAATCAGAGCCCGCCAAGCACGGCACGCGGAAAGGTTTCCACCCCACTCCTCCTTCCTCACGCGCGCAAACTTAAATCCGGACGGGCGCAAGTCTCCGTTGCAGCGAAAACTGTACTCCGCAGCTTTCGTCCCCTCGCCCCGAAGCTAGAAAACAACAAGGACTAAGCTTCCCTGCAGAGTTCACTATCCTCTTGGGGCCGTCAATCCCCGTCTGCCATTCTTTTGGAACGTGTGTGTACTCATTGCATTGTTTATTCTTGGGCATTTCTTTGCTGTTCTTTTCTATCTTTGCGCTGGGAAGATTAGACGGAATCGAAACCCCCATTTTCCAGGAAAGAGGGATTGCCAGTCAGCTTTCATTCAGCATTGCACGACAAAGAACCGGAGGAACGGAACAGAGTCAGTCATACGCAGACGCGAAGTGCAATTGGGCCCTAGGAATAGGATAGGATAAGAGAAGACACGATGCCGGATCTTATCAAGGCGAAGGAGGTGGTGAAGGAGTCGTTGTTGGGGATGGAGATCGTGGAGGAGGTGCAGATGTCGGCGCAGAGCAAGGCGACGTTTGAGAAGAACGCGAGGAGGGATGAGGAGAGTGGGGAGCTGTTTATGGGCGAGGAGGAGTTTGTCAATGCTGTTGCGCCGGTGGAGGAAGATTATGTGAGTATGCCTTTGCTTTTGTATCTACTTCTTACTCTTGCTCTATACTTTCTCGTCTTGTTTTCTACTGTACAAATTTTTTGACAACAATTGACTCATGAATCAACAGCACAAAATCAAGCGCGAACAATACGGCATCCTCTTCAGAGTTGCCGACAGGAAGAAGACGGGCAAGATCAGTCTCCCGGACTGGAGTACCTTTGAAAACCTCCTTGCGAAACCCGATGCAGAGTACGAGATCGCGTTTCGGCTTTTCGATGTGGAGAATACTGGTTTCGTTAAGTACGAGGATTTGAAGAAGCTCTATGAGATGAATAAGAGTCCGGATAGTATACCGTTTGACTGGAACTGCGAGTGGGCGACGCTGTATAGTGGGGGAAAGAAGCGCAGGCACGATCTTACGTACCCGCAGTTCTCGCAGATGCTGAGAGGGTTGCAGGGAGAGAGGATACGACAGGCTTTCCATTATTTTGACAAAGATGGCGATGGGTTTATTGAGCCTGAGGAATTCCAACGTATTATACTCGAGACGGCCAAACACAAGCTTTCAGACCATCTGTTGGAGAACCTACATACCCTCTGCAACATATCGACAGGTACCAAAATCTCCTACGCCAATGTTCGCGCGTTTCAGAACATGATCCGGGAAATGGACCTCGTAGAATTGATCATCAGACAAGCTACAGCGCAAAGTGATGATGGCAAGATCACCAGAACAGAATTTCTCAACGAAGCTGCGCGCATAACCCGCTTCTCCCTCTTCACGCCCATGGAAGCAGACATCCTCTTCCACTTCGCCGGTCTTGACGAACCCTCAGGCCGCCTCGGCCTCGGCGATTTCTCCAAAGTCCTCGACGCCTCATGGCGTAACCCGCTATACAATGCCTTCGGAGCTGCCTCTGCAGGAGCCAAGAAAGCAAAGACAAGCACCCAGAAAGCCCTGCGCTCAGTCCTCGAATCAGTACACCATTTCGCGCTGGGTTCTTTGGCTGGTGCGTTTGGTGCTTTCGTGGTGTATCCTATTGATCTGGTCAAAACGAGACTGCAGAACCAGCGCTCTGCACGCCCTGGCTCAATGCTGTACAAGAACTCACTCGACTGCGCCAAGAAGGTCATCCGCAATGAAGGTTTCACTGGTCTGTACTCGGGCGTCTTGCCTCAACTCATTGGTGTAGCGCCAGAGAAAGCCATTAAGTTGACTGTCAATGATCTGGTACGAGGGCACTTCTCGAATAAGGATGGGAAGATCTGGATCCCGCATGAGATATTGGCAGGTGGTACTGCTGGTGCATGTCAAGTTGTATGTTTGCCCCTTCCACTTCATATAGCTTCCATACCCTCTTCTCATACTAATACTTTCAAAGGTCTTTACTAACCCCCTCGAAATCGTCAAAATCCGCCTGCAAGTCCAAGGTGAAGTCGCCAAATCCGTCACCGACGTCCCCCGCCGCTCCGCCATGTGGATAGTAAAAAACCTCGGTCTAGTAGGCCTCTACAAAGGCGCCTCTGCCTGCCTCCTCCGCGACGTTCCCTTCTCAGCCATCTACTTCCCAACCTACAACCATCTAAAACGCGACTACTTTGGGGAATCACAAACCAAGAAACTCGGTGTCGTACAACTACTCACCGCCGGTGCTATTGCGGGAATGCCAGCTGCGTACCTAACCACACCATGTGATGTCATCAAAACCCGTCTCCAAGTCGAAGCCCGTAAAGGCGAGTCCTCGTACACCAGTCTCCGCCACTGCGCGCGCACCATCATGAAAGAAGAGGGCTTCAAAGCCTTCTTCAAAGGCGGACCAGCGCGTATCCTGCGCTCGAGTCCACAGTTTGGTTTCACGCTCGCGGCGTACGAAGTCCTACAGGGCTTGTTACCGCTCCCAGGGGGTGAGGAGGGTGCGAATGCAATGCCTCATAAGGGCGTCGGCGCTGTGGAGGCGGGCTTGCAGGGCCAGGAGGGCCCGTTGGGGTATCTGAGGAGTCGGAATGCGTTGAAGATTATACTGGATCTGGATGGCGAGTTTGGTAGGAGGGCTATGCCTGGGGGCGGGGAGGGGTGGAAGGGCTTGCCGAGGGTGTTGGGTGGGAAGTCGTAGGCGAGGCGAGCTTGAATTGGGGGAGTTTGCTGATCGAGTATGAATGAATACGAGTATGAGTATGAGTCTGATTGTATTGCGAAGACGAGACGAGATGAGCCGCTGCTAGTATAGAAGATGTTAGAGGGTAGGTAGAAAGGGTACATATATATCTAGATATAGACGCGGCCTTTTTCTAGATCTTTCAACACGGATAAACAAGACAGACGGATAGATAGATGACTATTATTTACCGTTTATTTATTTATCTATTCATCTATCTTTATCTCCCTCTCTTGCTTACTTTCTTGCTTTCTGGCGTGTAGAAGTAAGGTAAAGGAGGAAGGGGAGAGGGGGCTTTTTACTTGATGTGTAGGTAGGTAGAGGGTAGAGGGTAGAGGGTGGTTTGTTAAGGGCGTTGTGTATAGTGCACTATAGTGTGATATGATATGCGATATGTGAAATGTTATATGTGATATGTTATGTATTTGATGCTGGTAGGTATAGTAGAGTAGGTAGGTTTTGGGATCAAGATGAAGATGAAGGTGAAGGTGGTAGGCTTGCGTTTATGCGTCTATGTGTTTATTTGCTAAGCGGTGTTTGTGAAGCGCGGAGTGAGAAGTGATGGGCAGACAGAGGCTTTGGTTTTATAGTATGGAAATGTGTAGTCTGGAGATATATGTAGGTAGATGTGTGGATGAATGGATGGGTGGGTGGGTGAGATTGTATGGAGTAAAGTGATATGAATGGTAGATGGGTAGATTTTCTTGAAGATGAATTGGTGTTGTTATTTAGGCGTGGAGGGGTTTGACTCCTTGAGTGTGGGGTTGATGCAGGATGAGTGAGTAAATACTGGGGGTATAGATAGGGTGGAATACTGATTACCTGATAACATCTCCCTTCCTCGTTTACCCTTGAACTCAAGTACCAGCCAGAGACTAGAAGTCGAGACGTCGCAACCGAAAGCTTGGAGTGGAAAAAGAAATTCAGGGGTCGAGATTGTGTCTTGGAAACGAATCTGAATTCAACAATCGAGAAAGTAAGCGTCTTTCCTCGGTGTGTCTGTTTACGTGAGTCCGGCTTCTTTTCAGGGGAAATTTGTAGGGGGATAGATGAAGAATAAATACCTTGCTGTCTGAAGTTGGACTGTCCTGTTTGAAGAGTTATTCGTGAATCAACTTGCCCTCACAGTGCCTCCCGCTCTTCCTCTTCTCAATCTCATCAAACCATCAGTGCAGAAAAGCCCATTCGTCACATCTGTCTTCGAGTTATCCCATGCCAACGGAAGCTGAGTCAACTATGTGGCCCAATTATTCAAAGACCTGGAAAGGCTCGGTATACATCACTGGAGGCATGCTGTAGGGATATGAGGGATGCTAAAGCCCATGCTTCATATGCGTACTCGAAGTTCCATGCCTTGTATCCAAGGTAGATACAAGGCCATGCAAGGAGCCCCATGGGTTTGAAGCCAAAACTGTTCTTGATACGAGGGTCTGCGCCCCAGGCAAAAAGAGTTCGGATGATGTGGAATTCGTGAGCGGCGCATGCGTAATATAGTGTAGAGGTGTGTCTCCATGGGAGTCCCTGAAATCGACCATGGTGTTTAGGATTCGTAAAAAACCAGTTGAGGGAGAGTGATCATGGTTGTGTATATGGGTGATAGTTTGACCTCCTCTTGGCTACTTAGCGTGTCTCTGTGGATCGCTTTCTCTCCAAGATCTAGTTCCTGGGCGATGGTTAGCAAGTGCAGCAAAGTCATGCTGTTTTCAATGTCCATAGTGAGATCCTCTGCCGAGTATATGTGTTTTGGTATCTAGCAGTAGAACCAGGAGGGCGACCACGTAGTCAGCGCCGTATCAATCATCTTGCAAATATTGAGCCATGACTTCTTCAAAAGCAGTGAGATTTGGGGGAATATCATCAATCTGCTAGTGACTTTTTTGAAATTACCAATTTGCCTAGAGGAAAGAGTCTGAAGCTTGTCCTTGACAACACGGCTCGAGTCTCCCGAATGTCTTGTTCCACTTCCACGTTGTAAGTAGCAAAGCCGGGAAGCTGGTGATCTACGGTTGACTTGTGACTCAATATAATTGTCAAGTTCAAGTGCGTTCTAAAGAGTTTTTCATCATTCATTTTCGTCATGCCTTGAAGATACCAACAGTTCAGCTATCCCTTTCTATTTCTTTAGTTCCATTCCATTGTGCCGAAAGCTCCATCTAGAGAGAGTTGAATAATTTCGGTGTGAAAGATTCACAGTACCGGTTTGTCTTGCGTTTCCTTTTTCAGCTATGATATTTTGCCGGTAGATTGCAAAATAAATTAATTACAAGGAATGTGCTTGAACTGCTTCGTATTTGAAGCTTTCTGACGTGCTCGCTCGAGAATTGGCTGAATGTAAATGAACATCAAGGGTCACCAGCAATATCCTCGACAAATTTGAAGTGAACAGTATACTCTTGGCAGGAGAACCTCTCCATCCAAGGAGCCATCGCAAGACTTAGATTGAAAATAGTTGGAAGATGTGCTGGAGTGACAACTAGCCATGAAACAATGTAAAAATGAAATGGAGACTTTGAAGAATACAAATCTGATTCTAGGCGGATCATTTTGCCCAAAATGGAGACAGATACCATCACTTGAATAGACATAGCCGCTTGCGCAGGCAGGATTTTGAACGTCGAGATCATTTTGCACGTCTACTTCATGGACCCTCCGTCACGGACGGTGACTTAAGTGTCCTTGACTGTATATACTAGTGCTTCTGCTTATACCCATGAGGGCACAACTCATACACTTGTTGGTTACGCCAATGTTGCAACACTGAAAAGCCCACCTGTCAGTCTTCGAGATATCCGCGGGGAGGCAAATGCCCCATCGCTGGAAGTTGAAGCTCGCTCGTAGCCTGGCTATCGCGCTATATCAGATCAATGCGCTGGCTGGGTCCACAGAAAGATCTCCAGCTACAGCATCATTTTCTTCAAGCATCGCAAGGGGGGGGGGGGTGATCTCAGCCATCACTTCTTGACCGGCTGGCAATATTCACGCCCTGATGACCAGAGACACGTACATGCCTCTGAAGGTTCCTCAAGAGGAATTGGTGATCTAGATGTGTATGTCCATTGTTCCAGATTACAATATGTCCAAGGTCATTTCCAAGGTTTCGGAAGAGCTTTGGTGTAGTTTTGATGAAAGTTGGTTTTGAAAAGGACTTTTTGGGGTGTCTTGAACTACTTTACATATTCAACTTTTGAGTTAAAAAAGATACCCAGCTTTGTTTGCGATCAATGAACATTTAGCAAGACTTGCGCATTGAGATGCGATTGATGTTGAGTACATGGACGTGTGCGGGACGAATTATTCTATGGGGTATGCGTTTGGAAGAAGCGGCTAACTACATTTAGTTAGTGCTACGCTGCAAAAAGTTCCCGCCTCGCAAAAAAATAATTCTTAGCAGAAGCTCTGTTCTACCTCACAGCTACGTCTCTTTCGTAAAATCCAGCAATACCGACATCATGGTTGTGAAAGGCAAGCTAAAGATGGCCCTTGTGGCAGAGAAGGATATCGATTTCAAAAAATTGAATTTAAAGAAGAAGGAAAAAGCTGCTAGGAAGAAGAAAGCGCAAAAAGGCGGGGATAAGCCAGAATCCAATGGGAAGGTGGAGGAGGTTTGGGAAGATGTTGAAGAAGCAGCTGAAGACAGCGGGAGTGATGAGGATGAGGAAGAATTAGAAACTGCACCTATGCAGGTAGGTTATTCTATTCGTCCTCTATGAACGACTCTGACAATATGGTAGATTGATTTCGAAGGTATCGACGAGAGCGACAGCGATTCCTCTGCAGGCGAGAACGACCAAGAGAATGATTTGGAGGATGATGAGGACGACGAAGACATACCTGTGTCCGACTTGGAAGATCTGGATGATGAAGAGAAGGAAGATATGATTCCCCACCAACGTCTCACCATAAACAATACAGTCGCCCTCACCGCAGCCCTCAAACGAATCGCACTTCCCACATCTAAAATACCCTTCTCAGAGCATCAATCGATTACCACTTCTGCGCCAGTAGTGATTGAAGATGTTTCGGACGATTTGAATCGCGAGTTGGCCTTTTACGCACAGTCGCTATCTGCGGCACAAGAAGGACGCAAGCTCTTGAAAGCAGAAGGTGTTAAATTCACGCGACCAACAGACTACTTCGCCGAGATGGTAAAGGCGGATGAGCATATGGCGAAGATCAAGGCGAAGTTGATTGACGAGGCAGCGAGCAAGAAAGCTTCTTCTGATGCGAGGAAACAGCGAGACTTGAAGAAGTTTGGCAAGCAGGTGCAGGTAGCGAAGCTACAGGAGAGAGATAAGGAACGCAAGACGACAATGGAGAAGATCAAGGCTCTGAAGAGAAGTATGTGCCCCCAAAGAATCAATTCAACCTTATGCTAATCATGTTTAATAGAACGCCAAGGCGCAGATACCGAGACGACCAATGAAGCAGATATCTTCGATGTAGCACTTGAGGATGAGACCGCCAAGCCTTCTCGAAAAGACAGGATAGGACCCAACAAACGCCAAAAGAAGGACGAGAAATTCGGGTTTGGAGGCAAGAAACGGTTCAAGAAGAGCGGTGATGCGATGTCCAGTGGTGACTTGACGGGTTTTTCGAGTAAAAAGATGAAAGGTGGTGCAAAGCCTAGGCCCGGGAAGGCCAGGAGAGCGTCAAAGAAATGAGTTCTGTCGGACGGAATATAAAATGGGATATGGCGTTTCGGTCGGTTCTTTGCATAGGGTTATGTAGATATACCAAGCTATTTTCCAGTGTCCATGCAGTGATGACAAGATGTCATTGTTGTAATGCCTCGTACATATTTTCTGCTTTTTTCTTCACGTTATCTGCACCGTCGTCTTCCAGCTCAGTTTCTCTACATGCACTCCAGATGCAAGTGCGCATTTACACTATATAGTTCTTTCTAAGACCATCAACGGCAACTGAACCTCGTTAGATCATCCATCCAACACAATGATTATTACTAGCATTGAGAGTCATCATTCCTATCAAAGTTTTTCAGTTCTTCAAATATAACGTGTATTTCACGTGACTCCGATCACCATCAGTATTGTTCCCGGGTCTATGCAAGCCCAGAAACGACAATTGTTGTTTCGATCGATACATAACATAAACCTACCCACAGAACCGCAGAACCAAGAACGAGAGCGCAATGCCAAGTGCCATGTACATGTATATCCCTCACGTACTCCATCAGTCAAGCTCCATCCAAACTCCAGCTACAAACCCAAGACCCAGCGGTTCCAGTTCCAATCCCAAATCCCAGGCTCTAGCATTTATGCTCCATCCAAAACATCCATCTCATCTAGCACAGTGCCGATTTCAGGCTCCACATCTAGTGCCTCTTGTTGTGGTGGACTTTGGAACCGAGTCCGCTGAGGACTTGTGCCGATGAGGTGGACATGTTGATGGTAGTGTCGTTGTTCGCTCTCTCGAGTGCTCTGGTTTGAAGAGCCTGTTGTCACACAAGCAAGTGTTAGCTAGAACTTTTTTTGGGAGTGGGGTGTGAGTACATGTAGAAGGTGTAGTACATACGGTTGCGGGAGCGGTATTCGAGATATCTGATTAGCAGATTGAGCAATCCGGCAGTGCCGCTTATGATGATGGTTATTGCAATTGCAGTTGAGGCTATCTGAGATACTGGGATAGTTAGTACGTTGATCTATACAATTAAGATGCTTTCGATTTGAAATGAGTTGTCAATCACTTGAACTACACCTAGGTAGTGAGTGTCCAGAGCGTTCTGTAGTTTATTGCACCACATAAGAAACAGGAAGTAAACTTTACCCATGTTTTCAAGATTTGCTTTGGCGATTTTGGGAAGAAATTTCGTTCTGCGTGGTAGGGTGACAGTGATATAAGTAGGTGACAGAAAGGCAGGAAATTACATAGACTGAATAGCTTTAAAGTCACACATCCGGGAAGCAAATCCGGATAGGGGGAGAGCTGAAAAAAAGCAGATGTTGGCGGAAGTTTGGTGCACTTTGGGTGTGCACTTGGACGGTGCACTTGGATGGTGCCGACGACGGGGTAGAGTAAGTGCAACATTATTGGGTGTTGGAAATGAGTGGATCTAGGCACTTTTAACATAAAACTTAAGCGAACCAATAATGTTGGGTGGTTGGCTCGGGAAGATCCATGGTCGTGTATAGAAGATTCATGGTCGCGTCTGGAAGATCCATTGACCCTGCGAGCCCTGCTGTGCTGTCACATCAATCCCATAACCCGCTGTACTCCACGGGGGTTTGCAGATTCGCCGCGTTTTTAGTTCAATGAGACGGCGGAGGTCCCTGTCCCCCCCCAACGGCATCTCGAAAATGTCAGACACGGAGCATCACCGATGTTCTTTTGACGCGGCGGTGTATTGAAAAGCCTTTGCTGATTGGCCTCCGGCGCTCGTCGTAAGGTGTCCGGGGGGCTGCGTATGCCGCTCCCAGCAAGACATCCAAAGCTTACTCCGTATACCGTCATATCGATACTGTCATATTGGAAAACAAATGTTTGTAGCACGCGCATACCGGGCTCGCGATGCATGTCTAGGTAGGTAGGTAGGTAGGTGGGTAGGTAGGTGGGTAGGTAGGTGGGTAGTAGGTGGGTAGGTAGGTGGG